TGAGTTACAGACAGGGCCATGGGCAGCTCAGGCAACAGGGGCTGGAAGTGGCCCACCCTGGCAGCAAGCATGGCCGGCACCGGGGAAAGATAGAGCAGGACCTCAGCTCTGCTTTGCTTTGGTTTTAGGATGCCAGGGACAGAACAAAACATTCCACATGTCTGTCATTTTTCTTTGCCCAAGTCGGTGATACTTTAACGGCAGTTCCCATTTTTTCCTCCACAACAGCCTTTTAAAAACGCGCTTTAAGCAATAACTTCCCTGTTTCCCTAGTCCTCTAACAATCCTTGGGTCTGTAGGCATTTGTCTGTTCTAGAGATTTCAGCCAAGTGCAAATGGACAACATCTGCCCGCAGGCGTCTGACTCAGCAGACAGTGGTCAAGGCTCATCCACGGCGTGGATCCGAACCTCATTTCTCTCGATGGTGGAGCGGGTTTCCACTGCGTGCGGACCACAGGAGGTTTGCCTCGTCAACTGCTGGAGGACATTGGGGTTGTTTCCGTCCTAGGCCACTGCCAACCTGGGTGTACAAGTCTCTGAGTCCTGCTGTCAGATCCCTGGGGCATACAGCGAGGAATGTGCTTGCTGGGTCAGACAGCAACTCTAGGCTTAACTTCTTAAACAGCTGCCATGCGATTGGCCCCAAGCTGTGTTTTATAAAGGAGCCCTGGTGGGTGTACTGGTGACATGTTGGGCTGCTACCCACAAGGTCAGCAGTTCAAAACCACCAACCACTCCTCGGGAGAAAGATGATGCTTTCTACTCCTGTAAAGAGTTACAGTTTCACAAACCCACAGGGGCAGTTCTACCCTGTCCTAGAGGGTTGCTGTGAGTGGGAATAAACTCAAAGGCAGTGAATTGGGAATTTTTTTTTGAAGGGGGACAGTGTCTTTAAAGATCACTGTGCCTACTGTGTAGAGAGACCTATGAAGGGACAGAGTATTCGGGCGGGGAAGTCAACTGCCTAACAGTTATTTAAGGAATGGGCCATTTTCCTGGAAATGTGCGTGCGGCCAGACAAATGAACAGATAATGAAGGGCTAACTGAAGGTACAGGACGTACAAAGCCCTTTGAATGAGGGCGTTTCTCCAAGATGGGATCTTTGTGAGGCACACGGGTCACTCGATCAGCAAAACTCACTCATGGTCACCGAGTGGGGTCCCAACTCACGGCGATCCTATAGGACAGAGCAGGCCTGCCCCTGGGGGGTTCCGAGCCTGTCCCTCATCATGAGAGCAGGAAGCCTTATCTCTCTCTCTGAGTGGCTGGTGGGGTTCTCGTAGTCTGACGGGTAACCACTACACCACCAGGGATCAGCAAAGAAAAAAATCACTAGGGTGCCTGGTGCATCTCCGGACGGAGAGGGGTGCGGAGCTGTGGAAAGGGGCAGGTGGGCAGGCAGGGTGGAGCAAAGATCACAGCCCAGGTACCTGCGTTGGCCTTGAGGTCCTCCGGCGTCACCATGACCACAAAGCGGATGGCCCGCTCATTGCGGAACATCTCGTAGGCCCACCTGCGGATGGAGCGCATGCACTTGACGGCGGCGATGCCATTGTTGGCGATGAGGACCTGCGGGAGGGGGACAAAGGAAGTGCGTGGGCTACGCTTGCACCTGGGTCTCAAGCTTCACGCTGTGGAGTGGCTGCAAGCGGCAGGGCCTCCCACAGGCCTGCCGGAACTGCCTCCTCTCTGTTACCTCCACGGTGGCACCGCCAGCATACCAGCACAGAGCGGGCACTCAGGCTACGTGAGGGTTGAGCCAACGAATGCCCGGGTTTAGAGCCGGGGCGTAGGAATTGCTACTTTTACCAGCAAGAGTGGGAATCACCAGCAGTCTTGACCACTTGGAGGGGCACTGCCTACAGCTGGGGGTGAGGGTGGGGCCTCTGGTGTCCCGTGGCCTTGTTCACGTGGCGGCTCCGCCACTGACCGACTGGTGGCCTCCCCGCTCTGAGCCTCGGTATCCTCCTCTGGGAAACAATGCCCATAGTTAAGGCTGTCAGGGTGGTGAAATAAGGCAGGCGGGTGGAAACTGGCTGCCGTAGCACCTGGCCCTGCAGTTCCTCATGGATGGAAGTGGGCCAGTGAGAAGTGCCAGCCTACACGTCTTTGGATTTAATCCAAACATGTTTCAACACATCTCTGCTCTCCGTGGATGGCTGCAGGCAGGTTCTCTCAGTCTTAGTCTCAGTAGGGTGCCTTCCAAAAAAAAAAAAAAAAGCAACCAAAATTGGCTACCGAGGGGATTTGCTGGGCCAGTGGAATTCAAAGCAGAGAGGTCAGCTCAGAAGGTGATGGCAGCTGTTTCACGGGACCCACTCCCTCAGGGCCATCGTGTGTCCTTTTCTCCAAGGACACAGGGTGTTCACAGGCCGAAGGCGTTTCAAGGAAATCCAAGACGGCATTAGTGAGGAAAAGGTCAGGAAAGCTTCCCTAAGGAGCTTGCTTTCGCCCACCCCGGCCTGGATCATTTTGTTGGGAAACTTGACTCCAGCCCTGTTCTTGCCCCGTCAGGCTTCTTTATGGTCCCTAATCTCAAAGGCTATTTAAAATGTGCACAATCTGAGTGCCTCGCGTGGGCCCAAACCGCCCTCCTGATGGGGCCAAAGGCAGAGCGTGCAGACGTCTTCAGGGAAGGGCAGGAGAGATGGGAACGCTTCAGGGTGCATGGACCCCGCGGGAGGTTATGCTGATTCACAATAGCTTCACATGTTTATATTCTTGTGTTTGGGTTTTGTAGCAACACTTTTGGGGGGCTCACCTTCCTAGTGTTAAGATCAAGGTCACCAGTCAAGGGGAACTGACTGACCTGGGATTCAACCCCAGCTCCATCGCGTACTAGCTGCATGGCCTCAGCCAACGCAGGCCAATCCTCTGTCTCCCTAACGTCCCTGTGATGACTAGAGATGACTGTGGCAGGATGTGCCCAGGTGGAAGGGGCCGAGCCTTTGTCCATGGCAGCTCTTAGCAACCTGCTCCCCTGGCTCACCCGCCACCATCATGACAGCCCATGGGTCTCTGCTCCTCTGGAAAGAAGCTGCAAACCTCAAGAGCGTGAGGCTGACTGTTACGCTACCCGCCCCCACTAATAACCTGAGGGTATGAAACGCGAACATGGTCCACAGCCAACCTAAAGGTCAGAGGTTCAAGCCTACCCCAGATGTGCCTTGGAAGAAATGCCTGGCAGTCCATCTGCAAGGCAGTTGGTCACTCCAGATTCCCCCTTCCCCACCGCCAGAACAGAGTTCTACCTGGGCACACAGGGGTCACCCTGGGTAGGGGACGACCTGCTGGCAATAGGTTGGGGGCCCCATTTCCCAGTAGCACCTTAGGGCCTTGGCCTGGGCTCGGAGCTCTGAGTCTCCTCTGAGAGATGACAGTGGGTGAAAAGCTCCCTCCTGCAGGTCACACAGCCAGCACTGTGCTTGTGAGAGGGCTCTCTGGTCCCCACCACCCGGCCCCAGCCTCCACCCCACAAGCCAGGGCATGCTGTACCTTCTCAATGACGCGATTCCCCCCAAAGCGAGTGACAAACTCTGCCGGAGAGGCCACGGTGAAGTCTCGGTGCAGGTCCAACTTCTTGTGCTCACGGCCCCTCTTCACCAGGTGGAGTCCCGACATGCTGGGCCTGTGGAGGGAAAGCCAGATGAGCTCAGGGATGGTGGGGGGGGGGGGGCTGTGGGCCCCAGCCCAGGGGCCACACAGAAGCCCACCTGCTTCCGCTTCACACTCCTCGGCTAGAAGACTTGATACACTCCTTAAGGCAGGGAGGACAGCAGCCTCATGTACCCTGAAGACCTGAGACCTGGCTGGTCATTCTGATCAGGGCCGCCGTCCACCCTCTCCTCACTTACTGACATGGCAAGGCTCCAGAGACCCGGCCGTCAGGTGCAAACAGGTGTGATGAGAAAATGGAGGATGACCACGTTGTATCCCCACATCCGACATCATGGTATGGCTGCCCGATCACATCATCCCATGCCTCTCCGACAGACCACCGAGAATCATGCCCCAGCCAGGCTGACACAGGATCTCAACCATCAAAGCCGAGTTGCAACCTACCTGCTAGATGGAGACATCCCAAATGACATCCCAGGGATGAACCCGGAGGACACAGTGCTGAGTGAAATGACTCCGGCACCAAAGGTCAACTCGTGTAGGAGAGTCAAGAAAAGGTTTTCCCAAGAGAAGAAACATTCTTCGGTGATTACAGGGGTGGGAGGGGAAGTCCTGGGCCAGACAAGTGTTCACGTGGTGGAGGGGAAGGCAAAATGCAGGAAGAGGAAGGCTCAGCGGAAATTATGGAAGCAGGGGAAGGCGTATTGTGAGGTGTGCCAGTTTGAAAGGCAGCAGAGGCAAATACTGTTATATACACAATCCAGTAACAGGTACTAGTGATGATAGACAAGTAATGCCTAGATAGATACACAAGCTGAACAGGGAGCATGGATGGATGGATGGATGGATGGATGGATGGATGGATGGATGGATGGATGGATACATACATACATACATACATACATAGGTAGATACATAAGTAGATACATAGATAGATACATAGATAGGCAGGCACATATCCCTATATGCACACACAGTGACACACACATACATACATACACACATACACTTAACAGAGGCTATTTGTCTAAGTGTATTCCCCTTGACTGCAAACACATCATGGAGGTGGTGGAGCACAGAGAAGGCAAAGCTACAAGAACTCCTTAGGCCTGACCACACACCTTGAGAGAAGTTGCTGTCGGGCCCAGGGGCGCAGGACCCTGGTCTCAGGTGACACCCAGGTCTGCTGGCATGAACAGTTTGCAAACACAATGTTCCACATTGCACTTGGGCGAGTCACCATGGGGGAGTCTTAGAAGCTCGTGAGCAGCCGTCTAAGGTGCAGCTAACAATTGGTCTCCAGAGGTTAGAACCACAACCGAAGACATGGAAACAATTAGTCCCGTGGCCTAACGGACCAGCAAACCTCAGTTTCCACAGTCACTGAGACCAGAAGAAAACCAGATCATGCCGGCTCCCACTACCACCCTCCATGAAAAGGATCACGTGGAAAGGCCTGGACAGAGTGGGAGAAGGATGTGGGACTAAACTCATAACCGTGTGAGACCTGTCTCATATTGATGGGACCCCTCTGCCTGCTCCCCGAAGGCTATCCTCTTGAGTTACCCTCCAGGTCTGGATCTGCACTCAGCTCACCACTCCCCCGGCCTGCCCCTGTTAAAACAATCAACCATTTAAGATCACAGGACCAAGGAGCGACGGGGTCCCCAAGAGATGTGTCTGCGGTGGTCTTGGTCACGGTCAGTAACACTGGAGGAAGCAGGACGAGCGTGGCCGGTCCACGGCGGGGATTAGAATGAAGGAGTTGACACAGAGCGTGTGTGAATTGCTGCATGTCAACCTTCACCTAAATCACAATAAAAATGTGTTTGGTTTGGTTTTCAAATCACAGACTTGGAAATCCCACAGGGCAGTTCCAGCCTGTCCTATAGAGTCGCTGGGTCACAATTAACTCAGGGGAGACCAGCAAGGGGTAGGACTCTGAGCTGTGAGAGTGGTTTCCACTCTCGGCCGCTAACCCCAAGGGTGGGGGTTCCCATCCCTCAGAAGCCCCTCTCAGGAAAGGCCTAGTGGTCTGCTTCCACCTCTGACCCACATGGGGGGGCGTGTGCCATGAGTGGGCGTTGACTCAGCAGTCCTGAACGGGACAAGCTTGCCATTCTGACAGTCCTCCGGCGGAGAGCCCATCAATGGCCGCTCATTCTTGAGAGACGCTCGGATGATGCTCCCTTGCCCCACCACCCCATGCCAGCCGCTTCCTTGCCCACCGGCTCCTCAAGGGGCCTTCAAAAAGTCCGTGAAAGAATTGAGTTAAAAGATCTTGCAATTCCCCTACCGACTTTTCGAAGCGCCCCCAGGCTGTCATGTAATAAAGGAGCCCTGGTCGTGCAGAGGGTAAAGCGCTCAGCCGTTAACCAAAAGCTTGGTGATTCACACGGGCCACCTGTCCCTAGGGAGAATGATGTGGCCGGCTGGGCTTCGGTCAAGACTGGCACCCTCGGAGACCCCGTGGGGCAGTTCTGCTCTGTCCTATAGGGCCCCTGGAGGTTCAGAATCAAATAACCGCAACAGGGTCCTTACGGGTCATTTAGTAAATGCACCATTCAACGGGTCATTAGCCTGTGACCAATATTCCCAGATGCATTTTGAAATACACCAAATTCTTTCTTTCATTTCCCCCACTGAAGGAATGATTTTTCTCTTTCCCTTGGTGTCCCTTCACCTGTTGCAGAGTCAGCCCACTCCTAATAACCCCCCAGGATGCCAAAAAGTAAGGAGACCTGGTGACAGAGTGGGTTACATCTTGGATTGCTCACCACAAGGTCCGCCGTTCGAAACCACCAGCTGCACTGTGGGAGAAAGATGAGGCTTTCTCTCCTGTAAAGAATTACAGTCTCAGAAACCCACGGGGGCAGGTTCTCCCATCCTACAGGGTGGCTATGTGTCAGAAACGGCCCAGTGGCAGTGAGTGGGCTATCTGGAGAACGGCATCAGGATTGCCATTGGAGATTTGGCAACAGTCTACAAGATGCGGCCGACACTACTTTGCTTGCTGCAGGCACAGAGGACTTGAAGCATGTACTGATCAAAGACAGAAGAAGAATTGATGCCGTTGAACTACACTGGTGGCAAAGAATACTAAAGATGCATGGAATGCCAGAAACAAGTCAACAAATCTGTCCTGGAAGTTCAGCTGGACGGTTCCTTGGAACTGAGGATGGGGAGACTTTGCTCGCTTCCTTTGGGAGAGTCTCTGGAGAAGGCCACCAGGCAGGGTACAGTGGAGGGGCAGTGGAAAAGAGGAAGGCCCTCAACCAGACGGATGGACACAGTGGCCGCCACCAGGGGCTCACCCAGAACAGCGATGGTGAAGATGGGGCAGGACCGGGCAGTGCTTCCCTCTGGTACGGAGAGCGACCAGGAGTCCGAACTGACTCGGCACCAGACAACCACCTTTCTCGCAGACGACTGCCACATCTGTCTGTCACCCCTGCTGGAGGGCATCCATTCCCGAACTTACTTGGCTCGCTGCCGCTTTTCATCCCCAGGGAGGAGAACCAGGAACAGATCAGCTATCAACATTCCCATCCAGGCAGCTGGACTCACTCCGGCGCAGAATCACCCCACCCCTCGCCCCACAATCTTCCACGGTGACATCACTCACATCAGGCTACTGAGGGCTCCCTGAACATGGGACTTTTCCTCTTCCCCTCCCCAACGTATTTCACAGCAATCAATCAGTCTCCTCTCCAGCCTGAAGCTCTCTCCCGCCCCCCGGACTCTGGCAATGGTCACACTCCGGGGCCACTGGTCAGCAGCGAGGACCTCATCTTCTGATTCCTGCTGGCACCTCAGCTCGCCAGCCGAGGCTGTCGGGACAGGCCCCCAAACCCTCTTGCACCCTGCGGGCAACTGTGGTGTTCCTGGTATCAGCTAATGCAAAGGGGGGTGGGGGGGCAGTGCCCAAGCCTACTGCTGGGCAGTAATACTGACCAGTCTCTTCACCTTGCCAGGAGTCTCTCCATCATTGGCTAAGAAAACTGAAGTGCCAAGAGTTGAGGGCACTGGGTCTGGGTCTCAGGCCTGCTAAGCGGTAGGGTCAGATGGTCCAACTCCATCTGAGTGGGAAGTCGAAGCTAAGAAGTGAATGCCCCGCACCCCTACAAAAGCACGTCCGTGGGGTTACATATATGGCGACCACAGATCTTGGGCTTTGCCAGGGTGAATTCCACCCTCTTCCGAACGTTGTTTTTGAGACTCCAGTGGTTCCCCAAATGTTTTCTTTGGGAGCAACCTATACGGTTGAGTGTGATCCAAGGTCTCAATGTTCAACTGTTCACGTCACTAGCTTTATAGATCCCGGGACTGGGGACTATCCTCTGCGGATCGAGTGGCCTGACTTGGGTGCCCTCTAGGAACTGAGTGGTTTTGCCAAAAGAGTTCGATTAAGGCCCCAATGGTAGAAGGATCCCCACCTCCATGCCCCACAAGAGGTATAGGCTGTGAGAATGGCGGTGATGCAAACCCCCTTCTCGGCACCTGATGGAAACATTGCTCCCGCCCGGCTGTGAGCCTTCCAAGGAGGGTGCCCTTGACGGCTCTGTTTAGGCTCTGGTGTGGAAAGGACAGAACAACGGGAAGAGCCAGCCTCCCTTCTGTCTGCCTGGTTGCATGTCTATCTGGACCTCCCCAGCTGTGGTGCTCAACGACCTGGGAGGCCCTTGTGACTCCATGTGTCCTTATTGCCCCAATGCTCCCGGTCACAGCCTCTTTGAAATCACTTGGCCAGCCTCCTTTATCTTCTGAGGGGTCCAATGTGAGGAGGGGGCCTCTTATTCATCAACTGTCGATCCCAATGGCCCTGCTGGCCTCGTAGTGATACACAGGCTACTGCCCCAAGAATAAATGAAAACAAAAAACAAAAAAACAACTCACTGCCATCGAGTTGATGGCAACAAATGGTGACCCTTTAGAGTAGGGTAGAACTGCCCCTTGTGGGTTTCTGAGACCGTAACTCTTGGTGGCAGTAGAAAGCCTCGTCTTTCTCTC